CTGAATAACAAGAGGTTTTTTAAATAGAATTTTTCTGTGTCTTCCTGCTGAATTTTTATTGGTAATATGCAGAAATGCTGAAGATAGGTATGGGTTTATTTTGTAGCCTGCAATGTGACTGAGATTGTTAACTTTTTAGCAATTAGTTTTTTAGTTGATCCTCTAAGGTTTTCTAAGTAAACCATTATATAATCTGCAAAAAGTGATAGTTTTGTTTCCTCTTTGTCTGTAGTCTTCAGTTTCTTTTTCTTGTCTTATTGCTATTGCTAGCATTTCTAATAAAACATTAAATAGTAATGGAGATAATAGCCATTCTTGCGTCATCCCTGATCTTATTGCAAAGGCTTCTAGTTGGTTTTAGATAGATACTACTTCTTTTAAGGAAAGTTCCATTTATTGTTTTGTTTTTTCTAATTAAATTTTTTATTATCCCATTTTATTATTATTATTATTATTTTTAATTTTTAACATGTGTTTTTAAAACTTTGGGTTCCAAATTTTCTCCCTTCCTCCCTCCCCACCCATCCTCATTGAAAAGGCATGATTCTTGATACAGGTTATAGATGTGTAGTCATGCAAAGCACTTCCATAGTAGTCATGTTGTGGAAAACTAAGTATATTTCCCTTCATCCTATCCTACCCCCATTTATTCTGTTCTCTCTTTTGACCCTGTCCCTCCTCAGAAGTGTTTGCTTTTGATCATCCCCTCCCCGAATCTGCCCTCCCCTCTATCAACCCCGTAGCTCTCTTGTCCCCTTCCCCCCTTATTTTCCTATAGGGTAAGATAGATTTCCATACCCCATTGTGTATGTTATTTCCTCCTTAAGCCAAATCCTATGAGAATAAGATTTACTCATTCCCTCTCACCTTCCCCCTCTTCCCCTCCACTGTAAAAGCCTTTTCTTGTCTCTTTCATGTGAGATAATTTACCCCATTCTACTTCTCCCTTTCTCCTTCTCCTAGTATAATCCTCTCTCACCCCTTAATTTTATTTTCCAGATGTCACCCCTTCATCTTCAACTCACCCTGTGCCCTTTATCTGTTATATATACATATAATTTTTTCCTTCCTACTACCCTACTACTGTGCCTTTTACCAAGCTGTTAATTCTCTTTTCATATCTTTCATAGCTCTTACTTCTTCTACCATCTTTTCTGTACTGCGTTCATTTTGTTTTTAAAATAATTTTTTCTTTTGGTTTTTAATTTAAAAAAAATTTTATTTTAGGAATTCTTGTTGGTATGGTGTCCAACGTGCATTTTTCCTTGAGGCTTTGCTTATAAATGTTTTCAAGTCATTCTCTTCTGTGTTTGTGTCTTAGTCTTCCCTATTACTTAGTAGCACTTTATAGTGAGGTTTGGTTTTTTTGTTTTCTCATTCTTCTGGACTCCTTCTTGACTTTGGACTCTGTGTTAGTGTTGGGCTTTGCTCTTTCTTAGTGGAGCCATCTGGCCTGAGCTTCTGTCCTTTCATGTCCTGCTCTTTTCCTAGCTTAGTCTGGAGGTCTGCAAATTTTCAGTCCCCTCAAAGTAGTGTGATCTAGGGAGAAGTCTATTGCCTTCCTGGTCTGAACTCTAAGTTCCTGACCCAGGTTTGGGTCTTTTGGCTTGTGGGGTGGTTTAATATCAGTGGACTGCTGCTGGACTCAGTCACTGTAGCTCACTCAGAGAGGGCTTCTGCAGGTTCTTCAGTGAACCAGAACTTAATAATTGGTAACAGTTCTGCCAGATGGCACTCATTCCCACACCCAATGCTTATTCAGGGATCCCTGTAAATTTTTACTCCAGTCCTTCCTACCCTGATACTTTGTCTCAGCCTCTTTTCCCTCCCTATGTATGCTCCCCACCACTGTCTGTGTATGGGTATTCCTGGCCAACTTCCATGCCTGGTGTCTGCAGCCCTCTCTTTCCCCTATCTCCTCTGGGTGGAAAAAATCACTCATACTGATTTTTTCTTGGCTTTCCTGATCAGAATTCTGTCATGCATTTTATGCATTGTGGAGGAGGTATGCTCCTCAGGGTAGGTAAAAATGCTTCCTCTTGGGTCTGCTAGGTGGCGCAGTGGATAGAGCACTGATTTGGGGTCAGGAGGACCTAAGTTCAAATGTAACCTCAAGACATTTAACACTTACTAGCTGTGTGACCCTGGGCAAGTCACTTAACTCTGATTGCCTCACCAAAAAAAAGAAAGTTTCCTCTTTCATCACCATCTTGATTCCACCTCTCCATTCTTTCTCATTCTGTGGAAGTATTGTCCTTAATCCACCATAAAAACAAAACTCTCAAAATGAAGTTAGTATCGTGATATGTTATTTTCAAAGAAAAAGTGGCCAAGAGAATGTCAGTACCTAAACACTTATGATTTAGATTGTAGTAGTGGCCATGCTAATCTTGTTATAGGTCAGCTTGCTATCTCCAAACCAGAAAGTGAAGGAACAGAGCAAAAGGGGTCTTCCCTAGTAATAGGACCACTATCCACTGTGCCATTTAACTGCCCTATTAGTAATGATTATATTTTTAGTTTTATCTCTGGTTTCATTGGTGTTGTTAATTGCCTTCCTTATTCCCTACCCCTATCCCTTATCAGTAATTCATATGTTCATATATATATGTGTGTGTGTGTATATGTGTGTGTGTGTGTGTGTGTGTGTGTGTGTGTGTGTGTGTGTGTGTATTTTATTTATTTATTTTTTTTTGGTGAGGCAGTTGGGGTTAAGTGACTTGCCCAGAGTCACATAGCTAGTGAGTGTTAAATGTCTGAGACTAGACTTGAACTCAGGTCCTCCTGACTCCAGGGCTAGTTCTCTATCTACTGCGCCACCTAGCTGCCCTAGGATCATTATCTACTAGGATCCCTACCCCATCACTTGGCTAGTTTTTTTTCCTACAAGAAGGGGAAGCCTTCCGTGAGCCTTGATTGGCTCAAGGGGGCCTGTGGCTTGAGATGTTAATGTGAATTTCTAATTGCCTCAACTTGCAGAGGTTCCCAAACTTATTTGGCCTACCACTCCCTTTAAAAAACATTACTCAGTGCACCCCCTGGAAATCTACTTTCTTTAACCCTTTAATGTTTTTTGTTTTTTGGAAATTTGTGTCATTTCAAACTACTACCACCCCTCTGTATTGTTCTAGCACCCCCAGGGACTGTATCACCCACATTGGGAACCTTTGGCTTAGAGCATTAAAAAAAAAAACAATTCATAAAGATTTAGTGCCTCTCAAACTTACTCATGTCCCCCCTGCTATATGAATCAATGCATGCATCTGCTCAGACTGGTTTCAGTGGAGGTCTGTGTCGACTTGAGCCACTGTCATGTACTTGCTGAGTATCTTTTCTATATGAAATGTTAGATGGTCTGCAGGTAACTGATTCCTTTCCAGTCCTCATCTTGAACCACTGGACTGGCCTGCATCAGACCTAGACCACAACATCCTTCTTTCTCTGATGTCACTAATAATTTGTCTATACATGTATAAGCACATAAGTATCAAAATGGTTGGGTTCAGCTAGGTGGCACAGTGGCACTGTGTCTTAGAATCTGGAAAACCTGTTGAGTTCAAATCTGACCTTAGAAATTTTCTACCTAGGAGACCCTGGGCAAGTCACTTAACCCTGTTTACCTCAGTTTCCTCATCTGTGAAATGAGCTGGAGAAGCATATGGCAAACAACTCTAGTATCTTTGCCAAGAAAATCCCAAATGGGGTCATGAAGAGTCAGCCATGGCTGAAAAATTATGAACCATAAAGTCAAAGGGTTTATCATATGCTTAGAACAGATGGATGCAGATCCTGGTGAAGCAAAACACATCAGAACTCAGACTTTTAAAAATTAAAGCTGAAAGAGTCAACCTGTGGTAGTGGGGATAGATCAAATACTTCACGAGTCATTTATATTAAGAGAATAAATCATTTGGAGTGGTTGTTCGCTTTTATGGGAACTTCTAAGTACAAGCAGTCTCTGAGTTATGAAAAACACACTTAGAAATGTCCCATCTGTTACTTAATTTTATTGCGATAATATATTTTGTTGCTTTTGTGCTTAGTTCATTAGGTATTAAGCATCTCCTATGTACCTGTAACTGTAGAAAGGAATGAAAAAGACATGCAAAATGCAGTTTTTGCTCTTCAGGAGACTGCAGTCTAATTGATTATGTGTTCATTTTCATTTTATTCAATAAGCATTTATTAAGCATTGACTGTGTAAGGCACTGGGGATATAAAAGCAAAAATGAAGCAGTTCCTGCATTCAAGGACCTTACTTTCTATTGGGAGAATACAGCATATACACTGATAAGTAAACATGAAGTAATTTGGGGATGGGTGGGTGTGTGTTGAGTGTGTGAGTGGATAAAAGTGTAAACTCAGGGAATGAGGGGATAGCCTTAGGTAGCAAGTGGCAGTTGAGCCAAACTTTGAAAGGAGCAAGATATTCCAACAGGTTGAAATAAGGAGGAAGTTTATCATAAGCAGGGCAGATGAATGTAGGAGAGGGATTGTCACATATAGGGGGTAGTAATATGAAAGTATTCTAGCAACATGAACTCCAGCCAGATTGGGAAGGACTTTAAATTCCAAGCAGAGGAATTTGTATTTTATCCTAAAGACAGAAGGGAATAAATTGAGTCTTATGCATTATAGGATGGGAAACCAGAAAAGCTTGTGATCAATCAACTAACCCAGCTTATTGGACTTTATAATGACATTGCTAATTTAAAATTTTATTGTGAAGGAATAAATAACATTGAGATGTTAATGTTGCAAAAACTTCTTTACTTCTGTTTTACTGATCTTGCTGTTCTTTTGTTTTCCCTTTCCCAAATATAAATGGATTCTTTTGTTAATCTGAGAATCTAATTTATTAATTATTTTAGAATCTGTAATTGTTTTAAGTAGGTTGATAATATGGTGTTGATTGTAAATAGAAACATATTCTCTTCATCATAAAAGGTATCAGTGAATAATATTTAATGTTTTAAAACTTTTTCTCTGCTAATTTATAGATGTATCTACAAGAAGACATCGAAAACAGATGGAATTAAGTAAACATAACTTTGATGAATTAAAACAACAAAATTTTAATCTAACCACTACAAATGAGATCCTTGCCCATGAGCTTGAAGAAATTAAACAGGAAATGAAGGAATTATATGCAAAACTTAAGGAAATGGAAAAAGATAATGGAAGTGTGAAAGAGACTGAACAGAGTCCTCAAAGGAAAGGTATGGGAAAACTGCATGAAGATTTTCAAAGGGCTGTTTTTAAGGACCAAAAAAACCTTAAATATTAATTATCTTTTTTACATAGATGAACTCAAGATTTTTGTTGCTTCTGTGGTTCAATTATTCAACAGGAGTTTTCTGTGAATTATAGGAATATGGCTATACTAGGCCCTGAAGGGATACAAAAGAAACATGATCATCCTTGCCCTTGAAGAGCTAAAATGTGAATACTTTACCTAATTCAATTTTATTTTATGGGTTAATTTTTATCTCCTTAATACTGGAAGTACCTTAGCATAAGTTCTCATCATTCTTTGAAAATTTGTAGTGTTTTTAGTCTAGTTTTTCATTGCTTTTTAGATACTAATACCCTAATTACAAGTCCCAGAACTCCTGTTAAAAACTCAGTGTAAGGCTATTTGCTATGGTGCCGCATAATTATGTATTGAATTACTGAAATACTGAAAGGATCTTGCTAGTAAACAATTTCATAGAATTGCAACATTTAACTTTTTTGTCTTTGTATTTCTACTAGACTGCTATATGATATGCATTTAATAAAGGTACTATATATTGAATGAATGAATGAGTGATTGAATTAAATGGACTGTTCCACCTGGGTGGCCCATAGGCATCTCAAACTGAAGTGTCCGAAACAGAACTTATCATCACATTAACTCATTTCACAAAATCCTTCACTCTCTCAGATTTTCCTGTTTCTTTTGAGGAAACCACCATCCTTTGGCCACCAAGCTTTGTAAACTCATTCTTATTTACTATCTTTTCCCTTCCTCCCCCCATCCATTTAGTTGCCGGGTCTTGACAATTCTACACCATTAACATCCCTCTCATCTGTCTCTTCTTCATTCCAATGGTCACTACTGTTAGTCTTCATCATCTCTGGCCTGAATTATTGCAGTAACATTCTTATTGGTTCCTAGTTCCCTTCTTTCCTCCTTCTAATCCACTATTTCCACAGCTGCCAAAATAATATTCCTAAAGCACACATCTTACTAGGTCATTTCTTTGCTTAAGAATCTACATTAGCTCTCTCTTGCTGTTAGTTTAAAATATAAATTCCTCAGCTTGCATTTAAATCCCTCCACAGCCTGAAACCAACGTACCTTTCTGTCATTATTTCATAATATGACCCTTCATTCATTTTTCATTCCAGCCAGACTGATTACTTTGTTGTTCCTCAGACTTACCCTACCATCTCCTACCTCTTTGCCTTTGTATAGGCTGTCTTACATACCTGGCATGTACACCTGCCTTCTGTCCTCTGTCCCTTAGATTCCTTAGCTTTCTTTAACTCTCAATCATGTGTTACATTCTGCAGGAAGCCCTTTGTGCTCTCTCCATCCTTAACTTATGTTGCACTTATCTGTTTAAATAAATGCTGTGTTTTAACTCTATAGGATCATTTGCCTCTTTTTGTATTTTCATTACTTAGCACTGTGCCTGGCACTAGTAGGTGCTTACTAAATGTTCATTAATTGAATGAATAGAATGTAAGCTACTTAGAGGGCAGCAGTTATTTTTCTTTTTGTCTGTGGTACCTAGTGCCAAGCATGGTGCTTTGAACATAATAGGGACTTTATAAATAGCTGCTGAGTGGGCAAAGATCACTACATAATTAAGATTGACTCCCACCTCACCCTGCCTCAGGCAGCAGTATAGTGTTATGTCTACAAAGCTTAACTAAGGTATGTAACGTGAGCTGCAGGGCAGAAACTTAAGCATCCTAATAAAATTTTTTAATAATAATGGACAACTTTCTTTACAATTTCTGTTACACATTGAGGATGTAGTAAACATTTAAATGAGGAAGGTACCTATTTGTTAATCTAAAAATTTATCATTAATGGAACTAGTGTCTTCTGGTTTTAAAACCATCCAATATTTGAACGAAGAGAGTTTTTCTTTTGAGGACTTTACTGTCCCACAATCTATCATTGAGTTATACTTTGAATTATAAGCAATTCTGGCAATTCTCAAACAGTTGTAGGACTGTTGATACAACAGGAAGCTAAAAGTTAGGAAGGCTCATCTTCCTGAGTTCAAAACTAGCCTTAGCTAGTTGCGTGACCCTGGGCAAGTCACTTAACCCTGTTTGTCTCAGTTCCTCACCTGTCAAATGAGCTGGAGAAGAAAATGGCAAACCACTCCAGGATCTTTACCAAGAAAACTCCAAATGGGGTCACAAAGAGTTGGACCCAATTGAAAAATGAGTGAACAGCAACAATTGATACACAGAATTTAAGGGTTTAACCAAGTGAAATAGAAAAATGAATTATCAGAGTGAGTCTCACAAAAGTATATCCTACTAAAATGTTTGGGTGTCAGAGATTTAGGAGAAAAGATACTTTATTTGTACAGCATGTACAGGGAAACTAAGGCTCAAAAAGACTAGTATATTTTATTCGGTTTGGATTCAAAGCTGTTCTTTAAGATAGAAATGAAAAAGCCATTAGTTGTAAATCTGAAAAACTGGACTAGTGCTTTTCAGGCCATTTTAAAATGTACTTTTTTATATAGCAGTTGATTTTCCTATAGAACTTTTCATAGAGTAGCTCGCCAAGTATTCCTACTAATGTTTTACAGAATAGTTAATTTGTTTTTCATCTTTAGATAGGTATTTTGTTTTAGGGTCTTAAAAACCTAACGTTAACTGCACACATGACAAAATAGTGGTCAGGTTGCAGAAGTCTTTTTCTTGATATACAACTATAGTACTTTCTTTTCCTCTGAATTTGAAACTATGTGGAAATGTTTCCCCCATGCATTCAATACTCCATTTAAGAAATATCACTATATTCAAAAAAATAGAGACAGTTGATATGTATTTAATATCTTTTAGTTCATAATAGGATATAACTTTTTTTTCCTAAGAAAAATTTGCTAAAACACTTTGTGACTTTTCACATGCACAGATATCACATCGATTAGCTCTATATAACATGAGGAAAACAAGAGAATTTGGTATTTTGAACATTTTGGACTGATCTGAACCTGTTTCCTATAGCATTGTATACTTTATGTATAATGTCTTTTTTTTTTTAATAGTTGATGTGGCTGAATTTCTTTCTCTAAGACGACAAGCCCAGGAGCTGGTGGATGAAAATGATGACTTGAAAATGATTGTCTACCGTTTGAATGTAGAGCTAAGTCGATACCAGACTAAATTCAGGCAATTATCCAAAGAAGAGGTAACGTTTTTTATTAAGAAAAATACCAGTCCTTATATATTTTTACCACTCCTGCTTGAACCATAAGCAATTTTTACTATTCATTTTCTTTTGATACAAGAAGATGACAAGTAATTATTGGGAGTACCTACTAGAACATTTAAATCACTAATTCTAGGGCAAATATTAATACACACATTACTTAATTAAAATTAAAATTATCTTTATCTTACTTCCCATAAGCCTGTGGTTGTTGAATTAGAATTTATTTAGAAGACCTTTGTGTAAGTATGATATTTCCCAAAATACATTAAATTTAATCTTTTCAGTTTTGTTAGAGAATTAGTTTTATTTAGGACTATAAAATCTGATTTCCTTATTTTTAAAATGATGATTCTCACATACATAATTTCTTCAGAATAATAACTACTCATTATATAATAATATATAATATTATTAGGGAATTGGAAAAGGATAGGAGTAGGAACTGAACCTGTGACTTTATTGGTATAGAGACATCTGAGAATGTTACTGTATTGTTTATCCTTTGTTCTTGATGAGGACCAGTAACATCATGAGTATGCTGTTTTGACTTGCAAGCGATTGGATTTGAGTAAGGCAAAGCAGGGCAAAGTCATCATCCTCACTCTCACTTCTAGAGTCATTGGAGTCCAGTGGCAAGACAGAGGTCAACTTGATTGGTGATGGCCTAGGATGCAGTGGGTGACCATGGCCTTTCTTTTTTTTTTTTTAGTAGGCTATCCATGTATGATCGTATTAAACATATTTCCACATTAGTCATGTTGTGAATCAGAACAAAAAGGAAAAACAATAAGAAAGAAAAAACAAAAGAAATAACAAAAAAGGAGAAAATAGTATCCTTCAATCTTCATTCAGACACCGTAGTTCTTTCTCTGGACATGGATAGCATTTTCCATTATGAGTTGTTTGAAATTGTCTTAGATTGTTGCATTGCCCAGAAGAGCTAAGTCTAACAAAGTCGGTCGTTGCACAATATTGCTGTTACTGTGTACAGTGTTTTCTTGGTTCTGCTCACTTCACTCAGCATCAGTTCATGCAAATCTTTCCAGGTTTTTCTGAAGTCTAGACCATGACCTTTCTAAATTAAGGTCTTCCCCAGATCTCGGTTTGTTTGAGGTCACACCCATTCAGTGACTAAGGGGTAGGTAATGTTATAGGAACCATCTAGTCCAATGCCGTCTAGTCCAACCCCCTCATTTTACATATAGGGAAACAGAGGCCCAGGATCCTAAGTGACTTACCCAAGGTCGTACAGACTTTCTAAATCTAGAGCTAGATGGGACCTCAGTGGCCGTATTGTCAAGCCTTTTCTTTTTTAGATGAGGAAACTGAGGCTTGGGGAGGCTAAGTGACATGCCTAAGATTACACAGAAAGTGATCATCAGAGCTAAGAGGTGAGCAGAGAGCCTCTGACTTTAGAGTTACCAGAGTACCTCCTCATTCTTTTCTTGTGCTTTAGTTCACAATGCTCTCACTGCCTGGAATATCTTACCCCCAACCCTTTCTCTTCTTTGTGCACATTCTACTAATCCTCTGCAGTCTAGCTCAAGTCCCACTGTGAAGCCTTTCTGACTACCTAGCCCTCCTCTAATATAGTCAACAAGGTACTAAACACCTACTGTATGCAGACCACTTTGTTGGATATTGCGGAGGAGACAAAATTTGGTAAAGACTCTCTCCTTTTCATCATAAAACTTCCAGTCTCATAGAATGATAAGACACCAATAGAGAGATAATTTTTTTAATTTAAAAAAAGGTTTTTTTAATTAACAAGCATTTAATTTTTTCTCTCTCACGTCTCTTCTTTAATGAAAAAAGGAAAATGAAAACAAAACCCTTGTTACAATATGCATAGTCAAGGAAAACAAGTTTCCACATTGGCAATGTCACAAATATGTATGTCTGTGCAATGGATAGAGCACTGGCCCTAGATTTTATTTAGTTTTATTTATTTGTTTATTATTTAGTTCATTTTTTCCTTCTCTAAGCCCTAAAAATTCCTGCTACTGTGGTAAAGACTCACCATTTGGGGGATGGGGGGGAAACTTAGTGGGAAAACTAAAAAGAAGTATGGCAGAAATTAGGTTAGACAACTTATCACATACCAAGATAAGCTCTGAAGAGATAGATATGTGACTTAGATATAAATCAGAAGGATAAAGAAGAAATTACCTTTCAGATCTATGGAAAGGGAAAAGGATAGAGAGGATCACATAAGATAAAATGGGGGCAGCTAGGTAGCGCAATGTGTAGGGCACCGGCCCTGGAATCAGGAGGACCTGAGTTTAAATTTGGCAAGACTTACTAGCTATGTGACCTTGGGCATGTCAGTTAACTCTGATTGCCTTGCAAAAAACAAAAAAATAAAACCAAGTATGTATGTCTCATTCTTTGTCTTGAGATGAGGCAGGTAACATTATTTATCATCGTTACTCTGACATCATGGTTGGTCATTGTGAAGATCACAGTTCTTAAGTTTTTCATAGCTGTTCATTTTTACAATATTGTTATTATAGAAATTGTTCTTTTGCTTCTGCTCATGTAAGCCTTCCCAGATTTTTCTGTATCTTTCATCATTTCTTATAGTACATTTAGGATGATACACATATTTCATTGCAGTACACATAATATGTACTTCTATCTTGTTATAATCATATGCCATAATTTGTTCATCCAGTTGGTTGGTACCCTCTTTATTTCCAGTTATTTGCTACCATCAAAAAAATGGGTATAAATATATTTTTTTACAACTGTGCCTTTTTCCTCTTTATTTGATCTCTTTTGGGCATACACTGAGTAATATCACTAGGTCAGAGGCTTTATGCAGTTGAGTAACTTTGGTCATAGATCCAAAATACTTTCTGGAATGGCTGGACTAATTTAGAGTTCTATCACTAGTGCTGCTTTTCTCTGCAACAATGTTCATTTTTGCTTTTTATCAACTTTGCCAATCTGATGAGAATGTGGCAGGAGAACTTCAGAGTTTTAATTTGTATTTTTCTAATTATTAGTGAATTATAGCATTTTTGATATGCATAGTGATTGCTTCTGTTTGTTCCTGTGAGAACTGCTTATTCATGTCATTAGACTGTTTATCATTTGGGGCATGGCCTCCATCCTTACAAATTTGAATCAGTTCTTTGTATATCTTAGACATAAGAACTTTATTACAATCACTCGTAAAGACTTTTCCCACAGTTAACTGTTTCCCTTCTAATCTTAGCTGCATTTGTTTTGTTTGTGTAAATTTATTTTAATTTTGTGTAATCAGAAGCGTCCATTTTATCTTTTTTTGGGGGGGTGAGGCAATTGGGGTTAAGTGACTTTCCCAGAGTCACACAGTAAGTGTTATGTATCTGAGGTTGGATTTGAACTCAGATCCTCCTGATTCCAGGGCCAGTGCTCTATCTGTTGCACTACCTAGCTGCCCACATTTTATCTTATATGATCCTCTCTATCCTTTTCCCTTTCCATAGATCTGAAAGCTAATTTCTTCTTTATCCTTCTTATTTATATCTAAGTCACATATCTATCTCCTGGGAGCTTAGCATGGTATGTGATGTTAATTGTCTAACCTAATTTCTGCCAGACTTCTTTTTAGTTTTCCCGCTAGGTTTCCCCCCCAACCCCCAAAATGGTGAGTCTTTACCACAGTAGCAGGAATTTTTAGGGCTTAGAGAAGGAAAAAATGAACTAGGCTGCTAGAATTGTTTGTTTCTATATGTTATATAACTCATCTGTTCCATTGATTGGCCACCATATATTTTTTTTAAATGAGGCAGTTGGGGTTAAGTGACTTGCCCAAGGTCACACAGCTAGTAAGTGTCAAGTGTTTGGTCTGAGGCTGAATTTGAACTCAGGTTCTCCTGACTGCAGGGCCGGTGCTCTAGCCACTGCGCCACCTAGCTGCCATATTTTATTAAACAATATCAAATTGTTTTGGTGTTTATCTGTCAGTCAGTAGACATATTTATTAAGTGTCTGCTATGGGCAGCTAGGTGGCAAAGTGGGTAGAGCACTGGCCCTGGAGTCAGGAACACCTGGGTTTAAATCCAGCCTCAGACACTTACTAGCTATGTGATCCTGGGCAAGTCATTTAACTCTGTTTGTCTTGGTAAGCTGAAGAAAGAAATGGCAAATGACTCTAGTGCATTTTCCAAGAAAATCTCAAGTGGAGTCAGAGTGGGACACATCTCACAGGTCTGAGCAACAAGTACCAGGCATTGTACCATGCTTTAGGATTACAAAAAGAGTCAAAAGATAGTCTGTGCCCTGAAGGAGCTTACAGTCTAATGGGGGAGACAACATGTAAGCAAATAAATACATAGCAAGCTATAGATAGGATTAACAGGAAGTAATTGACAGAGGAGGGACACTCGAATTAAGAGGGGTTGGGAAAGGCTTCCTCTAGAAGGTGGGATTTTAGTTGAAACTTCGAGGAAATCAGGGAAGTCAGTCTTCAGCAGAGGAGACTGTTCCACCCTGGAAACCAGTTAGTGAAAATGCCCGGAGCTGAGAGATAGAGTACTTTGTGGAATTTTCAAAGGGCCATTGTCACTGGATCAAAGAATATATGTTGGGGGATAAGATGTAAGAACACTGGAAATATAGGAGGTGGGTAGGTTACGAAGAACTGTGAATGCCAAACAGAGCATTTTGTATTTGAACTTGGAGGCCATAAGGAGTCACTTGAGTTTATTGAGTAGAGAGTTGATATGGTCAGACCTGTGCTTTAGGAAACCACTTCAGTGGCCGAATGAAGGATTGATTAGAGTGGGGAGAAGCTTGAGGCAGGCAGACCTACCAGCAGACTATTTCAGTAGTCTAGGCATGTTGTCAGTGTCAGAGGAGAGGAGGAGGAGGCATATTTGAGAAATGTTGTAAAGGTAGAGTCGACAGCCCTTGGCAACAGATTGTATGTGAGGCATGAAAGATAGTGAAGGGTCCAGGGTGACTCCTAGGGTATTACTACTTTATAA